TTTGGAGTTTATATCTCAATTTTGAGGGGTTTTGGTGAAGATTAGACTTGGTTTTGACTGAATTTTAGATTGAAACTCGAAGAAGAAGAATAAGAAGACATATTGCAGAAATTGTAGATAACTTGTAGATTATTTGTATTCTGATTGTAGATGCTTTATTTTCTGTTTTCACAAATAAAAAACGGCTAAAACTTCTACAAATCTTCTGAAAAAATGCAATTATGTCAAAAATCCCAATTATGCTACAATTGAATGGGAATTGGGATATAAAAATTCAATGACCCAGTTTGTAGATATTTTGTAGATAAATTATAGATTATTTGTATTCTAATTGTAGATGCTTTATTTTCTATTTTCACAAATCAAAAACGACTAAAACTTCTACAAATCTTCTGCAAAAAACGCAATTATGTCGAAAATCCCAATTAAACTGCAATCGAATGGGAATTGGGATATTAAAATTCAATATACCCAGTTTGTAGATATTTTATAGATGAATTGTAGATTATTTGTATTCTGATTGTAGATGTATTGTTTTCTGTTTTCACAAATCCAAAACGACTAAAACTTCTACAAAATCTTCTGCAAAAAACGCAATTATGTCGAAAATACCAATTAAGCTACATAAATGTGTTTTGGGGGAAATCACTGTTATTTACGTGTTCTGGGTGATTTCTTTTGCAGATTACGACTGTTGACGAGGCTAGGAGATTCTATCCTTTGTTTGGACATGGTGCAAATGTTGCTCTGATTTTCTCAGGTCGCACAGTGAAGTACTTTTCTAGCCTGAGAAGCTCTTTGGGTCTTGGAGTTGATGGTTGGGCCATCTCTCTGAAAGCGATGATGAGTATTGTAGTGTTGATGGGTGGGGCAATCTGTTTCTTTTACTGGTGGGTGAATAGAAATGTTACTGGATGGTAGAAGAAACTTATTATCTTTTACTTGACTAGTAGAAAGCACTCTCTTTCATCAATTTGTTCTTGAGAAGCAGATGCACCACCTTTTGTCCCTCGTCTATCACTTCTACTAAAATGACGATTCATTGCTGGGTGAGGGTGAGGGTTTGGGAGAGAGAAACGCGGGAGAGGTGGGATATACGATACCTTGAATTAAGGAGGGATATACGCTGCATTAATTGTACCCTTAAAATACACTACGGTATAGAATTGGTAATTTGGTATGCTAAGTATAAGTAAGTCAAACTTTAAACATTGAGGGTAATAAGGTTTCCTATGTGGAATAGGAATGCAAAAATTCCAAAAAAAATTTTTTGGTAATTAAATCTTTATATTAATCACCAAAGTAATATTTACAAAATAGTAGGTCATCTCAACCTAACTTACATCCTGATTTCAATCCTCTATCCTCTATCAAAAAATCTAGCAACTACATCTATTTAGTACTTATATTGTGCTAGGAAAACTTCAGTATAACCCTCAGCTCTCATACTACATACACAATCTATCTTCTTTGCTAGTATATCCCATGTTGTAGCTGTGTTTTCAAAGATTCTTGCATTTCTTTCTATCCACAGAGTATACACAAATTCTGCAACTATCAATTTGAGAATTCTAGCCATTTGTGATCTTCCCTTCGTCTTCTGTGTTATCCATTGCTGCCATTCTGTCCATGAAAGTAAGTTAACTTGAATTTGGATCCATTGCATTAGCCTGCTCCACATATCTCTGCCATACCTACATTCCGCAAACAGGTGCTCTTTTGTTTCTAGAGCTTGTTTGCAAAAACAGCATAAGTCATCAATTTGGATCTTCCATTTCTTCAACCTATCTGCAGTTTGTAGTCTACCATGCATCAGCAACCATAGTATAAATGTTGCTTTTGGCCTAGCTTGATTCTGGTACATTAGTCCCTTCCATGCTACCTTTGGCATCACCCCTATCAGCTGCATGTACACCTGCTTGATCACCTTTTCCTGTTTGTCTTGATTTCCAGTAATCCCTGCAAGATTAGTTCTTGCCTCAAATATTTTCTTCAGCATCCATGATGATTGTTGTGGTACTTCCATGGTGTAGAAAACCTGGTCTTTAATGTAATAACTATGGATCCATTTGATCCACAGTTTATCTTTCTTGTTTGCCAGCTCCCAGGTATATTTTGTTATTGCAGCTTTGTTCCACAGTGCTAGGTTAACCATATTTAGTCCCCCTGTAGCTTTTGGTGCACACATCCTTTCCCAAGATACCAATTCCTTTTTTGTTATTACATTCTCCCCTGACCAAACATAGCTTCTGCAATAAGCCTCAATTGTCTTGACCACTTTAGTTGGCATGATAAAAATTTGTGCCCAGTATGCTTGGATACCAAAAATGACATGCTGAACCAATTGGATTCTTCCTGCATATGACAGCTTCTTAGCTGTCCAAGATGAAATTCTTGCCACTATTTTGTCAATGAGGGGCTGCCATTGCAAGATTGAAAACTTCTTGGAGTCAAGTGGAATGCCTAAGTATTTGAAAGGCAAATTTCCTTGACTGTATCCCAACTTCCTCTGGATCTCCTTTTGTGCCTCTTCACTGACTCCTCCAAAATAAATAGAGCTTTCTGCTAGATTAGCTCTAAGTCCTGAGGCTGCTGAGAAGGTCTGGAATCTATCATGAATATAGCTTACTGAAGTTACATCTCCTCTTGCAAAGATCAGGAGGTCATCTGCAAAACTCAAGTGAGTTAGATTCAATCTTGCACACAAAGGATGGTAATGGTATGCTTTCTCCTGTTTTAGACTTTTTAAACTTCTGCTGAGATATTCCATAGTTATGGCAAATAAAAAGGGTGACATAGGGTCCCCTTGTCTTAGTCCCCTGGCTGCATCAAAAGGCTTTGTTGTTTCACCATTAACGAGGATGGTATAGTTCACTGTTGTCACACACTCCATGGTCCAATTTATGAATCTAGTAGGAAATCCTAGAGCTTCCAACATTTGATGCAAATATCTCCAGTCTACTGTATCATAGGCTTTTTGAATGTCCACTTTGATAAGGCATCTAGGAGAGATATTCTTCCTAGAGTAGGCTTTAACTAGCTCATGAGCAAGAATCACATTATCAGCAACCTTTCTTCCTGGGATGAATCCAGCCTGAGTTTCTGAGACAATGGATGCAATGACTTTTTGTATTCTATTAGCAAGAACCTTAGCTATTAGCTTATATAACACAGTGCAGCAAGCTATAGGTCTATACTCTCTAATGTTGGTAGGATTTGGGACTTTAGGCAGTATGGTGATGGCTGTGCAATTCACTGCCCTGTACAATCTCCCTGAAGCAAAAAAATTCTTGACTGCTTGACAGACTTCATCTCCTATTATTGGCCATCCTTTCTTGAAAAAAGCTGCATTATAAACATCTACCCCTGGAGCTTTGTCATTACCAATTGCATTTAGCCCTTCATATATTTCATACTCAGTAACATCTGCCACTAAATTCACCTGTTGTTCATGATTAAGAGTTGGTCCTCTCTTCATTATTTCTCTATTGACTGCTGGCAAGCTCCCTATTGTTGATCCCATCAGTGATTTATAGAAGCTGATAATCTCTTCTTGTATCTGTTGCTGGCCTGTTATTTTATTTCCCAAGTTATCTTGCAATTCTGTGATCACTTTCTTTTGTCTTTTTTCCTTCATTACTGCTGAGAAGTATTTAGAGTTTGCATCTCCAAGTCTAAGCCAAGTAGCTCTAGCCTTCTGCTGTAATATACTTTCTTCTATTAAAGACCATCTCTCCAAGTATTCTAGAGCTTGTTTTTCCTCAGTAGCTAGCTTGTCTGAATAGCCTTTTGACATTTGTGTTTGGATATCCTTCAGCATACTCCTAGTAGATTCTAGCCTCTCTGTGATGCCCCTGAATTCACTATTGTTAAGCTGCTTCAGCAAAGGTTTAAGCCTTTTAAGCTTTTGCCATATATTCCTCATAGGATCATGCTCTTGCTGTTCTTTCCATACTTCTTCTACAAGTGTCATGAATCTTGGATGTTCTGCCCAGACATTAAAGAATCTAAAGGGGATCTTGCCATATGGTATTTGCCTTCTGATATTGATAACCATTGGTGCATGATCTGATATAAATGGGAGCCTATATTCTGCTTCCATGTGACCATATTCCTGCATCCATTCATCATTTCCAAATACTCTATCGATCCTGCTATAAACTCTATCTACTCCCTGTTGTTTATTTGACCAAGTGTAGTAATCTCCCTTCCAAGCTAACTCATGAAGATTCATTGTTTGCACACATTCAGTGAAGTCTTGAATTTCAGCCTTTGTAACTGTTTTCCCATAGATTCTGTCTTGAATTGTTAAGACAGAGTTAAAATCTCCCCATATAAGCCAAGGTTCTGTATTTTGTGATGCATCATCTTTCAATTGTTGCAATCGAAGCTTTCTTTCTTCTACAGTATTAAACCCATACACTACTGTCATGTGGCACTTTATATTATTATGCCTGCTTGTAACTCTGCAGTAGATTGTTTGAGCAGATTTCCCTAGCACTGTAATGTCATAGTACTGTGGATCCCAAAGTAATCAAATTCTCCCATTTATTGCATGTTCATAATTGTATTGAACTTGCCATCCAGGTGTTATTAACTGTGATATCTAAGTTGCTTTCTCCTTCTTTACTCTTGTTTCCACTATCCCCACTAGTTTGATATTGTTCTCCTTTATGTAGGTACCTAACTCCTTCTGTTTGTATCTCTTGTTGGTACCTCTAATATTCCATACCATCCAAGACATGTCAATGTTGGGGTTGCCCACCTATATCAGGTGGTTTTTGAAATGCTATCACAGCTGTACACTGGCTAGCTTGTGCCCTGTGTTTCACTGGAGACATTATTGCTTTGGCATAGGTCATTTGATTATCATCAGCCTTCATTTTCCCTTTATCCACTTGCCTGCTTGTCTCTATTGCTTCTCCATCTTTGTGAGTTTCCTTGTTTTCAGATGGCTTAGGTACACTTAAAACTTCCTTGCTAATTACTTCATCTTGTTTCTACTCCTCTTCATTTATTGTAACTTGAGCTGGTTCCTTTGTTCTCCATATTTGTTTAACTGCTGGTGGCTTCCTATTCCTGATCTGGGGAATTGGCTTGTCATTATCCTTTGAAATTCTGCTACAATTGTGCCCTGCCTTTAGACATTTTTCACAAAACTCAGGTTTCCAATCATACTCAACTGCTTGTTCAAACATCACCCCTCCTTCATTCATGATTGGAATACTTGTTGGTAGAGGCTTTGTAACATTCACTTCTATCAAAATTCTCGCATAGGAGATTCGCGTTTGTTTAGCAGTACACTCATCTGCAAACATAGGAATCCCTATTGTGCTTGCTATTCTGCTCAGTGAGTTTCCACTCCAACAGTTCATGGGTAATTTTGGGAATCTTACCCATAATGGAATATCTGTTAAAAATTCAGCAGCAAAATCAAAATATGGTGACCAATGCTTCATTATCATTGGTCTTCCATTCATAGTATAAGGCCCAGCACACATAATTTTCTTCATGTCTTCCAATGTTTGGAATCTCACAAGATAATAACCCTCATCATGATAGAACAAATCTGGCATGGCAACTATGTTCCACACCTGGTTGATGTATCTCTTCATGGAATTGTAGCCTGGCTTCTCACCCAATACATTGACAATCAACGCATTCTTCCATTTCAAATTTTCCTGCTCAATCTCTGATTTCTCCAGCTTAGCTACCAAATTTTCTTCTACAATTTCAGGAGTAATATAGGTCAATGTCATACCGTTGGCTGCAGATCTATTGCTTGTGAGTACATTAGCCCAGGTAGATTCTTTAGATGTAGCTTGTTTTTGCTCTTTTTTTATTCATCAATGGAACAGTATTGCCTGCTGGTGTCTTAGCTGCATGGTCCTGTTCTTTGCTCAATGGAACAGTAATCTCTCGATTTGCAGGTGGTGTGATGCTTCCTCGTAGGTCAACATGCATCGGGATTGGACTCTGATTTGCTTGTTTCTGTTATTGCCTAACTGATCCTGAAGCTTCTCTATGGCAGATCTGTGTTGAGAGTACAGATCCAAGCTCCTTCGATGCTCCAGGAATGTTAGTCACCTTTGATGTTCCAGAAATGGATTCCATGAACTTTGTTGCGCTCCTTTCCAATGTGTTGAGCTTAGGAATTTTGTCATCTACCCGAATTTGTTGCTTTCTAGGTCGCCCTCATGCTTTCTTTCCAGTCATGGCAGATCCGGCACACGTTAGCTTAACATGCGCCGAGAGGACTTGGAGAAGAATTAATGATAATTCCAAATTTTTAAAATAGTTGAATTCATTTTACAAGTTTTATTTTGGCCCAAATAATATTCATGGGATAATAATCAAAATCCGGAGTTTACTATAGTATAAGATCATCAATTAGCTATCTTATTTAGCATTTTTTGTGATGACTGTATAGTATTTTTACCAATATTGTTAGAAAGATTAAAAGATTAAAATGCAAATTAGTGACCTTTGAGGTTTTTCCTCTTTGACCCAAAAAAGAAAGAAAAACCCACTTGTATGAGTCTAGAGAGACTTATCTACACAGTAAACCTAGAGGTAGACTAAACCTAATTAAAACGTATTAAACAAAAAATGATGATGATTACAATATAATAATAACAATTAACAAGTTGTCAATAAACTACAAACAAATTAGAAAATATATATTGGAGATGAGTCAAAGCCAACAAATGCCACTTGGAGTACGCTAACAGTTTAGTGAAGTCACAACTAACCATTCTTATTAATTTAATTACTTTCAGTTTCTTTTTTGGGTCGAAAATAACATGACGTCATGCGAAAGTTAATAATTACGAACTTTGGACAGCAATAAATCAGACACAAAGAAAAATATACTAAAATATGCATCAAATATGGTTTGACCAATTGGCCTACAAATGAAAAAAAAAATATAAGATCCTATTGAGAGAAAATTCTCCTCCTACAAAAAAACTTTCTAAACGACTACATTATGCATGCTATTTGTCATGGGCGGCTTTCCAGCCATGCCCCATGACCCCTTGGGCGTGCCCCGTGGCGTCCTAGCAAGCCTCCCAATGCCTAGCGCCACGAACGGCCTCGTGGTCTTGGCCGCGCCAAGTGACAAGCGCGCAGGTGCCTCTGTCGCTCCACCGATATCCCTCGCCAGCGACAAGCCGTAGGCAGATGCCAACAGCGCCGCGCGCACAGACAACGCCGCGCGCGCAGACCGTGATGCCAAAGACACTGATGCTGCCTTATAGAAAACTAAGTCATTTTCATTGTAAATATAGAGTAGTTTTATTTCATGTACTTCCATTATGTTTCTCTAGGTTAGTCAAATCTAGTTTTGTAGCTTTGGATTATTTATTTTAAGCATTATTAGGGGGGATCAAGCAATCAAACTTTCTAGCAAGCAAGCAATTCTCTGTACTGGTGTCTCTCTCCCTCGACACCACGTTACTTTTCTATAATAGCTTTCATTAATGCAATCAAGCTTTCTTTCATTCTCAATTCTCATTTCTGTTCTATCAATTGCTCTTGACACTGGTTTTCCCGTACAGCACTGACAATCTAGTCTAGTGTACGGAAGGGACCTCAGTTGGCGGACAGTAACTGCACGAACATCAGTTGCTTAGCCTTACGTCGCCCTTCCATGGAATCTCAGGAAGGCGCCGCGTAACATATTATATGTTCTAGTTGTGAGAAAGATGTCTTTCTCCCAAATATGGAAGAGAATTGTATTTTCCTTTCAAGAAAAGTAAGAGCAATTATAGTATTACTTTGACTTTCCTTTAAGAGAAAAGTAAAACTCAAATATGCTAGATAATCGGGGCAAAATCCCTAACAAATATTAGTTTTGATTCATGTTCAGTTATTTTTAGTTTTTCTATCCGGTGTTCGGTATCCGTCTTGCGGTTCTGACAATGCTTTCCTACCTGAATTTTTTTATTTCAAAACTCGATCGAACTCGAAGCCTCTGATTAAGAAGGGAGGATCCTAAGTCCTTACGATAGCCCGTGGTGGTAAATTTAGCTGAAAATGTAATGTTTTGTGTTCAATTTGACTCAATTAAAGTCAAATTAGATATGTTATGTGGCTATAGTGGACTTGAGAATTTTTTTTTTTTTTTGGAAGATTCGATTTATTAAATTATTAGAAATTATTTAAATATTCTTGACCCATGAATCTTCCAAAAAATCGAATCTTCCAAAAAAAAAAAAAGAGGTCATTAATTTTGATCGCGTAAGAATTAAATTTATGTTACTTATTTGGTGGCCAACGAAGAGTTTCATGAGATCAGGTGCTAGCTGCATGAGTGACCTTGGGAAATTTCTACTCTTTTTTTAATTTATATAATCAATTTATCTTCTTAAGTCTAAGCATTGACTTATAAGATGACATAAATTAAATAAATTTTTTGATAATAAGACTTTTTCTTACATTTGGAAACACTGCCACTTACCCTTTTTAACTGACTATGGATAACGACAAAATGCTTCTTAGAAAAATGAGAAGACTGGTTCACTAATTAATTACTTTTACTTAAAAACGAAATTTATCCCATTAGACAAATGGATTTAAAAAATAGCCTTACAAGACTCCGAGGAAATGATCTCATAACCTAATAATAGTTCCGAAGAGAGATTGATGGCAGTACACTACTAGAAATTTTGTAAAAACCGATCAAGAAAAACCAATTAACTTTGGTCGGTAAAGGACCGGCCAAAAATCGATCAAAGTAGATCGGTTTTTCAAAATTTTTTAATTTTTAATTTTTTTTACGAAATCAACCAAAATATTTTAATTTTTAATTATTTTTTTACGAAACCGACCTAACTTTGGTCGGTTTTCTTTGGCGCAAAAATGCAGGAAACTATTTTTGAGTCCCGCGTAATTTATTTTTCAAGAAACCGACCAACTTTGGTCTGTTTTTAGAATTAAATCAAATAAAAATTAATATTAAAAAAACCGACCAACTTTGGTCGGTAAATTCGGCCGGTCTTCTTAAAAAACCGACCTAACTTTGGTCGGTAATTTTATTATTTAATAAAACTGACCAACTTTGGTCAGTTATTTTCGTGCGAAAATATAATTAAAGAGTATAAATAAATAAATAAATAAAAAGACAATCTTAAAACAAAATGCACCAATGGTCTAGTGGTAGAATAGTATCCTGCCACAATACACACCCCGGCTCGATTCCTAGACGGTGAATCTTTTGATTACATAATTAAAATACAGACCAACTTTGGTCGTTTTTTTTTTTTTGCAATATTTTTCTTTTTGAATTTAATTTACAGACCAATGTTGGTCGGTATACTAAAGCGACCACCAAAATACCGTCCAAGCGTATTTGGTCGCATTTTGGTCGGTAATTGGCCATAACCGACCAAAGTTGGTCGGTTTTTTTGGTTGCTAACTACCGGATTTCTAGTAGCGGTACATATTTTTCTACAATTCCTATTGTTGTGACATTCATTAAAGCTAATAATATTTGGGGATGATCTGAAAGAGAAGAAAACCTGGAAAGTTGAAATAAGAAAATTAGGCTATTTACGCATTGCTAATCATCAGAATAGAGATGAAGAATTGGTCTAAATAGTCGCATACTCAACCGTTTAAATAATATATATATATATATATATATATATATATATATATATATATATATATATATATATATATATTTGATAATCTATGTATACTGACTAGATAAAATAAATAGTGAATCCGCATGGCTATTTATGTAAATATCACAGTAGAAATCAGAGGCCAGCTTTACATGACAAGATGAAGAATTAGCCCAAATAGCCGCCTACCCTATTACTTAAACTAAAAATAACGGGTGAATGTATAATATATGCATTATTTATATATTAAATATGTCTAGTATTGTATACTCAATATATGCATATGGCTAGAAAAGATAAATAATTAATATGTCCGACTATTTGTGTAAAGATCCTTTACGAGATCGGGGCCTTCCTGGGTGGCCCAGCTTGAGTTTTACAAAATCTTATTCTCGGCCTTCTTGGGCTTGGCCCAATAGGCAATAACGGCAATAAAATACAATTCACTTTGCCTAATATCAAACTGAAGTTTCAATTACATATCCGTCGCCAGATGCTAATCTAATCTCAAATTAACACCTAGATATTCACAATCTACAGATACTTAAGCATGATAAACTATATACTGTAGAAGAGTTTAAGTCATTAAGCATTTGACACTTGCATATCAAGCTAAAAGGTTTATTATAATTACATAAATTTTATCAATTAAAATTTGTATCACTGTTTTGGTATTTGCATGTGTGTAAAAGATTGAGAGAATGTGATAGAGAGACAACGAAGAAATGAGGCTTTTTCCTGGATACGCATTTAGTACAGTCAAACCTTTCGATAACATTATCGTATGTTTCGAAATTTTTTGGCTACTATAGTGAAGTGTTGTTATAAAGAACATATACTATAACATAACATGAAGAATTCATTTAAAAAAAAAAATTGGCGGTTATAGCGAAGTAGTGTCATAGAGAAGTCTGTTATAGAGAGGTCTAACTGTATATTATAATCAGATCTCTCTATAAAAGCATCGTTTATTTCAAAAAGTTTCGGCAATTATAGTCATGAAGTGGTGTTATAGAGAACATATATTATAACATAACATGAAAAATTGGTTCCAAAGAAAAGTCGGCCGTTACTATAAAGTACTTATATATAAAGACATTATATTTCCAAGTTAACAAAGAAATGTAATAGTAATACATCCCTTCTTTTTTACAACCAGCAACAACAACAACAACGACCCAGTAAAATCCCACCAGTGGGGTCTGGGGAGGGTAGTGTGTACGCAGACCTTACCCCTATCCCGCGGGGGTAGAGAGGCTGTTTCCGAAAGACCCTCAGCTCAAGAAGACAAAAGAAGAAAAGAAAAGAGGCAATCTATCAGTACCGTCAATAGAA